TCTGGCACACAAACACACTGACCCCACCAAGAGTGGGCGGGGTCAAAGAGAGTTGGGAAGGAACCAACTCTGTGTGCGCGCAAAAAAACACGACAATGTGGGAGCCTAAATGCTTCAGAGGCTTTATTTAAAGGCATGTTAACAAACAAACGAAGGGTGTGGTGGATGTGGTCGGATTTAGCAGGAAGTGGACGATGGGGCAGAAGGGAGATACCCTTTAAACATAGAACGCATGCAGTCTAAACACAGTGACACACAATCGCATAGTATTGTATACTCTGCATATGTGTGCATATGTGTTTTCACTCAGGTTTTTGACCAGTTTGAGGCTCTGGAAGCTTGAAAGCAAAAGAGAGAGAGGTATTTACATGGTGTTGAAGAGTAAGGGTGTCAGGGATGGATGATCAGGACATTTATCAGCTGCTGAATTAAGTCTATTTTCTCTATTGTCCAGTTTACCAGCTTTGTTTCTGCTTCACCCACCATCATCACCTTCTGTTGCCTTGATTGGGCCTTGAACTGAAAACAACAGATTGTATTCTAAGAAAAAAAAAGTCCTCTAAACCTCACATATGGTTTGGTATTATTCACACACCAGATGCTCCACAGATTCTACATTATTTTGTTATTACCATTGTTCCTGCTTTATTTAACCACTGGGCTCAAGTTCAATTTTTAAGGATAAAACCCATTTAATCACGTCTAGCATACAACAGCAAAACAAGCATCAAAAATGTGGGCACAGGTGAACACTTGTAAAGGCAAACTTCCCACAATGAAACAACAACAAAAAAAAAGTTGTGAAACATCAGATAATAAAGCCTATAAATCCCCATTCCATTCTTTTCATTCAAAAGGTGCATGGTACCTGAATCAAGTTCTTTAAAGATTAGGGTGCATGTTCAGTTTTGGATACCTAAGGTTAAATATTATTGGAATGTGTGTAATTGTAAGATTCATATGAGAGATTTGAGCTGCAGTATGACACAAAATTAAAGACAGTAAGTTATTTTTTCCAATCATGTGAATCTTGAATGTGGCACTTTGTTTGGTCCAAATAGTGAAAATGATGCTGAAATTTGTTACTGTCTTGCCTCCATCAGGAAGCTGTACTGGACAGACGGGGACAACATCAGCATGGCCAACACAGATGGCAGCAACCGCAGCGTCCTGTTCACCAACCAGAAAGGCCCCGCCGGTGAGCAGCACACTGTACCTCTTTTTGTGCGACTGCATTACGAGACAGCACACCCTGGTGACAGGGCAGGCGATTACACATCTGCTCTGTCTTTGTTTTCCAGGCCTCTCCATTGATTTTGATACCGAGCAGCTTTACTGGATAAGCTCGGGAAACAGCACCATCAACCGCTGTAAACTGGATGGCTCTGGACTGGAGGTGTTGGAAGGGGTCAAAGGAAAGCTGACCAAGGCGACGGCTCTGGCCATCATGGGTAGGTCTCCAGAAAGTGTTCCAACATATTTGATTTTTTGATCACTGAACAGGAACTGGCCGTGCATGTGAAAAGCTGCATTTGTTAATATTGTTCTTCTAATGGAAAACATTAATCATCTTGTCGTGCATTGTGTCCTTTAGGAGAAAAGTTGTGGTGGGCAGACCAAGGAACTGACCAGATAGGAACCTGCGACAAGAAAGATGGTGGCAACTGGAAAATCCTGAGGAACAGCACTTCTCCCATGATGCACATGAAAATCTACAATGAAACTGTGCAGAAAGGTGCATATCTCGCTCTCATATGCCAGCTTTCTTTTTCTCAGCCAGCGCAAAATTTGCTTTTGTTAAATTGCTCTGCAAAAAAAAAAAGGGGAAGAAAATATGTCCTTGTCTCATTGAAGGTCTGTTTTGCAGGCTGCATGTAGCCTGTTTATCCAAAGCACATCTGTTTATGTCTCCGTTGCTCGTCTTTGATTTGTTTTGTGTATTTGTTCTCGTGCTTTTGTGTTCCCAGGCAGCAATCTTTGCAGCAATAACAATGGAGACTGTTCCCAGCTGTGTCTCCCCACCTCCCCGACCACCAGAGCCTGCATGTGCACTGCAGGATACAGCCTGCGCAGAGGGCAGCAGTCTTGTGAGGGTACGACACATTCGTGCACATGCTGCATTCTTGATTTGAGCCAAAAATTTGGATTGATGAAAATGATAATAATGGAAACCCAAACTTTTTAAGAAGTCAAAGTATGAAAGTTTCTTTGTTTGTTGTAGGCGTGGGCTCTTTCCTGCTGTACTCGGTGCATGAGGGCATTCGTGGTATTCCCTTGGACCCGTCAGACAAATCTGATGCTCTGGTACCAGTGTCAGGCACCTCCCTCGCTGTGGGCATAGATTTCCATGCTGGTAAGATTTTTTTTCCAACATGTGTTTTTTGTTTTTCTTTTGTTTGTTTGTTTTTTTCTAATGCTTGATGAGCAAAACAAATTCACCACTACATGAAGGGTGTGCTACTGTATAAGGTTACTGAAAGGTTCTTTCAGTTCAACATGCTTTCGCTCATTTCCACAGACAATGACACTATCTACTGGGTGGACATGGGCCTGAGCACCATCAGCAGGGCCAAGAGAGACCAGACCTGGAGAGAGGACGTGGTCACTAATGGCATTGGCAGGGTCGAGGGCATCGCTGTTGACTGGATAGCTGGTGAGAGACGCTATAGACACATATGCCTACTGTTAGTTAACCCTTCATAGGGCACTCCTTGAAATACTTGGAAAATGAAAATTTCAACCCTAGGGTGTTATTGAAGGATATTTCAAGATATTTTTTACTTTTGTGACTTTAAAAAAAACAAAAAAAAAACTTGCAAATCAAGATTAATAAAGTTACTATTTATAGTAACTCATCCATCTATGTTTTTTTTGTTTTTTTAAAAAAAGGGAATTTATAATAAATAAAAGAAAAAGCAACAAACTGCAAAAAACATTTATTTAGAAACATTTTAGTTTCAGGTAATGATACTTACACAACCACTAACAAAGTATTTATAATGTTCAAGTTCAAGTTCATTTAGTATCATTTTTCTTGGGGTAGTGGTATTGCCATTGGTATTGGTAGTGACATTTTTCGTACGGTAGTGATATTGGCACTAATATAAAAACTAAATCAAAGTGCACATGGTTCTTCAGCCTCAAGAAGAGGCACAGTGTGGACATATTGAACGTCCAAGGAAGTTACCAAATATGGTCACTTGCCCCATAAAGGGTTCATTTAAACAGTATCAATAATACATGCTGATGAATTGTGTTTCATTCTTGCACATACTGTCTGACACTACTAAAAGCAATAAAGTGAACCTGTTGTACTAACTACACAAAACAGGAATGAACAGCCATAGGAGAAAAATAAGTATTTTTTAGGTAAATTAACATCAAAAAGGAGGGTAAACAAGACTTATTTCTGCCCACTATGCATGATTCATGTGCACAAGATCTGCCAGCACTTCATTGTTTCCCCATTACCTCCACAGGAAACATCTACTGGACAGATCAAGGCTTCGATGTGATCGAGGTGGCCAGACTGAATGGTTCCTTCCGCTATGTGGTGATCTCCCAGGGCCTGGACAAGCCTCGTGCCATCACTGTGCATCCTGAGAAAGGGTGAGAGGAAAAAAACACTGCATCAAAGCTCCTACTTTTACCTTATCCTTCTGTAATTTGTCTCAGTATTGATTACTGAGGAAGTTATCTCCATGCTTTGCCGTGTTTGTGTTTGTGCGAGCAGCTACCTGTTTTGGACAGAGTGGGGCCAGTATCCCCGTATCGAGCGGTCTCGCCTGGATGGCTCGCAGAGGGCTGTCCTGGTCAATGTCAGCATCAGCTGGCCCAACGGCATCTCCATCGACTATGAGGTGTGTTGCAACGGAATATTTTTCAATCATTGTCACTGACTTGCAATGCAGAGGATGGATATAGCGTCACAGCAGCCATGCATCCAATATTGCTTTGTGTGCATGTAGGAGGGTCTGCTGTACTGGTGTGATGCCAGGACGGACAAGATTGAACGCATTAACCTGGAGACTGGAGAAAACAGGGAAGTGGTGCTGGCCAACAACAACATGGACATGTTCTCTGTGTCTGTTTTCGAGAGCTACATCTATTGGAGTGACAGGTCAGATATACCACGCTTCTCCTCGCTTTTGTTTTTTTCTTGTGAGTGATACACGCCCACAGTGTTTTTCATATCTATAAGCTTCAGCCTCAGTCTAATGCTGCTTATCTGTCTGCTTTGATCCAGGACGCATGCCAACGGCTCCATAAAAAGAGGCAGCAAGGACAATGCCACAGACTCTGTGTCTCTGAGGACTGGTATTGGGGTGCAACTCAAAGACATCAAGGTCTTCAACAGGGCAAGACAGCAAGGTAAGCAAAGTCTGCTTTTAAATGCAAGAGTAGCACATCGTTCACATTTTTACGTAACTTGGGTTCCATAAAATATTTAATTTGACATGTTTGCTCCAGTGACACAGCATTTTTTATTTATTTTTTTAATCTATCTGCAGGAACAAATGTGTGCAAAGACAACAATGGCGGGTGTCAGCAGCTTTGCCTTTTCCGGGGCAATGGACAGCGTACGTGTGCCTGCGCTCATGGCATGCTGGCCGAAGACGGCCGCGGCTGCCGCGACTACGATGGCTACCTTCTCTACTCAGAGCGCACCATACTAAAGAGTGTCCACCTGTCGGATGAAAACAACCTCAACGCGCCAATAAAACCGTTCGAGGACCCCGAGCACATGAAGAACGTCATTGCGCTCACTTTTGACTACAGAGGAGGTGGAGGGAAAGGAGCGAACCGCATCTTCTTCAGTGATATTCATTTTGGCAACATCCAGCAGATCAGCGATGATGGATCAGACCGCAAGACAGTAGTCGAGAGTGAGTTTTTCATGTTCTTAAGTTTGTTTGTTTTGTTCAGTCAGCTTCACACCAGCATATTACCCACTTTATCTACTCTGTATTCCTCCTCCCATAGTTGATAAGGACCTTGTCATTAGTTAATTAATTTATGGTTGCTACACTTTTTTATGAATAACAAAAAACCTGAGTCATAAACATTAGACCCCTAGTGAGAAAATGAGGAAGAAAGCTGCTGGATTTTCCCAAAATACTCCCACTCATCTAAACAGAAGCAGCAAGTTTTAATTCTGTAGTTGTAGCCAAACTAGAAACAGAAGGAAATGGCTTTTTTTTTTTATCTGCACAGACTGTATACCAACGTAAACAGGCCCAGAGACAGATAGACCTTCATTCGCCTTATCTCAGCGCAACAAAACACAGGTGCACTATTAATGTTTTACCAAAGTGCCTTTACTTTAATCTGTTTTACAAGGAATGTGTGATTCAGGATTGTTTCTGCCACTGTGCTTGTAGAGCAGCAACTCCCAAGGCAAACTTTGATCTTCTTGTACAATATCCAGACTAACAGAGAATGTTGTGAAAGAAGCAAAGGTTTTGAATGTCCCTGTAAGTGCTGCTGTTCTGCTTAAGTGGACTTTCCTCATAAGAGTAATGGTTTTGTCCATTTTATGTAGGAGTCTTTCAGCGGCTCAGCTTGTAATTTCTTTTTTTATTGTAACTCCCAGCTGCCAGGATTGGTTCAGAGTTTTGTCAGGTAATCAGTTTTATCAAGGTAGTTGCTTAAAGTAATACTGTCAGACAGCAGCCATAACCACAGCCCCGCTGGCTCTTTGCCCATCCCTCTTGAACAGCCTCAGTACGTCCTGTCTGAACTTTTGGGACATCAGCACATAGAGGATGGGGTTCATCACTGTAGAGGAGGTTGCCATGAGACGCGCGAACACGCTGAAGGGGCCGTAACGTGGTGAGGTTCCAGTGGCCCCTGAGCTGTTATTCGCCAGTAAGGCCAGCGTTAGGCCGTAGGATGGCAGCCAGCACACGGTGAAAGCCAGCACCAGCATGGCTGACGTCTGGGTCACTTTGCTCTGGTAGCGCTCCACTTGGGGCGTCCTGCCGCCTTGTTGACTCCCCCACAGGAACACATAGATGCTGCCGTACGCCACTGCAATGATAACCAGTGGGAACAAGAAGGCCACGAGGAAGTGAACCAGTCCGTAGATCAACTGGTCTCGGTCAGACTGGAGAGCAAAGCAACTGAGGCCGTCGGGGGCTTTTCGCGGCATTCCAACAGTGCGGAAAACCAGCTGGGGAGCCGCGAGGCACAAAGCTGGAAGCCAGAGCAGTGCGGCGGTCACAGACACCCGGCGAGGAGTGAGGAGGGAGAAAGCTCTGGTAGGCTTCACCACAGTCAGATAGCGAGACACGGCGAGGGTGGCCAGAGTGAACACGCTGGCCGAGGTGCAGGCTGAGCCCAAGAAGCCCACTATACGACACATGACGTCCCCGAATGGCCAGTGCTGCATGGCTATGGTAACGGTGTGGAAGGGAAGCATGGAGAGCAAAATCAGGTCTGCAACACTCAGAGCTAGTAGGAGGATGTCCGTGCCTGTGCCGCTCCTGGAGCTTTGGGGAGACTGTGTAGCACGCGCCACCCCTCTCCTCCATCGTCCACACAAGATCATCATCACCAGGGTGTGCCCACAAACCCCCAGGACCAGAATCAGCACGTCCAGTATCGGGACCAGGACCCTTTCCACATCGCCCTGCCCAGTGTCACTGCTGTTCCCCATTGGATCCTCTAAATCTGTAGAGTTCAACAACAGAAGCACCCTGCCTTCCGTTCCGTTCATTCGGCTGCTGTTGAAACACAGTTTGTCTTTTGTGGGGTCAGTATGCTTAAGCCAGTCATAAAACTACTGATAATACATGCGGAAATTATGATGCACACTGTGATTAAATAGGAGTGTGCTGACAAATAACATTACACAGACTTCTAGGCATTTAAGGGTTTTGAAGACATTAACAAAAAACACATTACGTACATTAATGTTTCTTTTGGCACCAGGAAAATGGCATTCCTGTTTAAAAGCTGTCATTCAAAACACATCAAGTCCTTGATCATTTTTACATTTTTGCTGCCTTCCAATCAAGCCATTTCAGTCTTCGCAATCAGCTCCACCTTATTGGCTGGGGGGTGGTAGAAGGAACAAAGTAACCACGCCGCTGAGGTCAAGGCACTCCCGTTTTCTCAGCTGCTCTGGTGTTCATCCTCCCCCTCGGACTCCTGTGCGGGGCAGACGAGTGTCGAGAGTTAAACGCTGGAGCTCGTGTGTGATTTCCTGTCACCTCAGAGCAGGCGGCTACTCCACATGACACCTCAATCGGGCCCTGTCCTCATCAGTCCACAATCAGCAGTCCTTCTGCCACCAAGAAAGGGATCTCCTGAGAAACACAATGGTAGCGGAGCTGGAATCAGAGAGGTGAATAGCTCGACAGCATGAGAGGATAAAACTGAGTAAACGGTAGGTGAACTCTGGACTGACTATGATAGAGCAGGACGGAGATGGGCTGGCCAGCTCTCTGTGGGAGGGCTTAATGAGGCCAAACATAGGCTCATTCTTAAGCACCGTTGTTTCTGGGTGTTTTTTCTGAAGGCATCTGTACATTTTCTGAAAGTGCTGTCCCTGCACACTCGTAAATACACACAGATACAGTATATATACAAAGAGAGACAGACTGAAATAGTGTTTGCCTTCAGAATTATTGACTAGAGGTAATTATTGACTGCCAGCCAGATAGCAAGCACTCAGCTGCTATAACGCCTACTGCAGATTACTGCAATAAAATCAGTGTCAGTGTAACCACCTGAGCTCAAGAGCCATAAATTTAGCTCATCTGTATTATTCTGAAGAGCAGGTGAATATGTACAGAAATCTAGATAGGCTTAGGTCAACAGCAATGTGGAGATAAACTGAAGTAAACAGCAAGATTTTGAGTGGAAGGTGCTGAAAGCTCGAGATTTACAATTCATTAACAGCACTAAAGAAAGAGGAAATAGGGGTGAATGGATTTCATGTTGCTCTCCATCGATTTTTTAGGGCATTGATTTATGAGTGCGAGAAGCAGAGGGGAGTTGTTTTTGTGTGCTGCATGGCTTTGCTTGGTTTTCCAGGCGCTTTGCTTCGTTCAGAATCTCGTAGCATGCACCGGACAAATGATGATTCATGCCCATGGTGTTGCACTGGAGATATTGAGGTGTCGTGTTAAGTGTCCCACCTGGTGGTGAACCTGGCTGTGTCTTGGGTTGCAGCTGTGATAGAGTGAGATCATGTCCAGTCCTGGAAAAGGTCGCTTTAATCATCAGACATTCACTGTTCCATTGCAGTAATGGTAACACGAAGATGACTATTACCGGTTGTTTGGTATTAGAGCGATCTCACTCTTAGTGAAGCACACATACTGCGTGTGTGTGTGTGTGTGTGTGTGTGTGTGTGTGTGTGTGTGTGTGTGTGTGTGTGTTCATGTTTCGTTTCTCAGCAGCAGAGCAGCTGTTGTCTATCTGCTGCTACAAAACTTCCTCCATCTTGGCTGACTCATGTCTGTCCTCTGGCCTTGTAGCATAAAGCTCACAACCTTGTACTCGTTTCGAGGCTTTGGTGCAGAAAAATGACCTCTTGCTTCTCATCTGTTGATGAGGTAGTGCTATGGAAAGTAATATGCTAGCCGGTAACTGTTATTGTGACCTTTTTACTGAGCTATTTGCTGGATAAAAGCCTTGAATCACACAGTGTTCTTGGTCATTAATACCAAGCTGTCATGTCCAGAGCCCTGACTCTGTGCTGCCACACAGCAGCCTGCCAACACTGAGATGCTGCCAGATGGTCTACGCTTGGCCTTTTAACATTAAACTGGGATTGACGTTCTTCTTTTCATTCCTCTCCTTTCTCCTCTTTCTTCTCCCTCCTTTTGTTTTTTGTCTCTCCATTCATTATGATCTTCCACTCTCTTTCCGATATTCACTCCATTCCTTCCATTCTTTTTTCAGACGTGGGCTCAGTGGAGGGTTTGGCCTACCACCGGGGCTGGGACATGTTGTATTGGACCAGTTATACTACCTCAACCATCACCCGCCACACTGTGGATCAGAGCCGCTGGGGTGCCGTTGACCGGCACACTGTGGTCACCATGTCGGGAGACGATCACCCAAGAGCCTTTGTCCTTGATGAGTGTCAGAGGTTCGAAATGAATAAGTTGCTAATATCACTAAACTTCAACCTTGCACCTCTTCATATCACTGATTAATCTTCTGTCCTGCAGCCTGATGTTCTGGACCAACTGGAACGAGCAGTCTCCCAGCATCATGCGCGCCACGCTGTCCGGTGCCAATGTCCTTGTAATCATCGGCACAGACATCAGAACCCCTAACGGCCTGGCCATAGACCACCGTGCTGAAAAGCTGTATTTCTCTGATGCCACACTCGACAAGATCGAGCGCTGCGAGTACGACGGTAGTCGGCGCTACGTGAGTGACATAAACACTTCATGCAAATGTTTGTGCTGCTGTGTGCCGTCAGTCTGTTTATCCCTTCACGTTTGTTGCGAGGCTGAGATTTCTTGAATGTGTGAGGGTCATGGCTGTGACTGTGCTTCCCCCTGCAGGTGGTGCTGAAAAATGAGCCGGTTCATCCCTTCGGCCTGGCTGTGTACGGAGACTACATCTTCTGGACCGACTGGGTGAGGAGGGCCGTGCTTCGAGCTGACAAATACACAGGTGGAGACATGAAGGTGCTGCGCGCTGACATCCCTCAGCAGCCAATGGGCATCGTCGCGGTGGCCAACGACACTAATAGCTGTGAGTTTTTTCCTCAACGTGAAACATTCAAGCGGTTGTGTGAAGCGTGAGGGGCGTGACGAACAAATACTGACATCTTGTGTAGGACTGCGTCATATGGATAAACTGCTTTATCATCGTGCAGTATTTGATAGTTTATGAATGCAAATGCGATTTTGTAATTTTTTTCGTTTGCTACTAATTAAATGTAGTCAAGACATTTGAAGTCCACTGTAATAATTACAAAGATAAATTAAGCTATAAATTGAGTCATTGCTGTTATCCAGTTCAACACATTTATCTGCAGTATTTTACACAATGGACATCCAAATTTTCTTTAATTAACAAAAAAAAAAAGTTTAAGTGGTTTGACATGTAAAGCCATAAAAATGGCATATATATGGCTGTTGAAAAAATTTACATCATCTCATGTTGCACTAATGCACTTAAAAAATGCATAGAGCTTCAACTAGTGAAATAGATCAGCACTGCTTTTTAACTTTGTAAGATGAGAAATCATTTGGAAGGCAGAACTTGAGGTAATATCTTGAATTTTTTACCTCTTTTCCTTTTCTCATTTTGTTCTACTCCTGCCATTGTCCCTATCCCTCTAAATCAATTCACTCTTGCATTTTTTATTTTTTTTTGTTCTCTACCATATTTTCTCCCTCAAGTTGCCTCATTCAGTAAACTCTCCCACACTCCAATACCCACAGCGACCACGCAAGCCGGGAGCCTGCTGTAACAGCTGCAAATCCTATTTAGATTGAGTCACATTGAATTATGCATACAGCTGAGGCACAGCCATTGCCTCATTTATGCAGGCGTATCTGTCTGCTGATGTGGATGCACATGAAGGGAGAGTATGTGTTTTGTTTGTTTGTGTGTCGGGAGCTCGGCTGGAAGGTCAGAGATTCTCAATCAGATGCGTATTAATATGTGCAGGTTTGTGTGGCTAACTTTCCTCGCGTCCGCACAGGTGAGTTCTCTCTGTGCCGTGTTAACAATGGAGGATGTCAGGACCTGTGTTTGCTGACCTCTGAAGGAAGGGTCAACTGCAGCTGCCGGGGTGACAGGAAGCTTTTGGAAGACAACACCTGCATAGGTAATGCAAGGATTCCTAAAAAAAAAACAAAAACAAGTCTGCCTTAGAAAACTTTCTCGAGATGGCGGAGAGGTGATAGCAAAAAAAAAAGTTTTAGTCAATAGAAGAAAAATGAGGAGGCTTTTCAGAGTGGCGCAAATAGTCTTTTTTTATAACTCCAAACAAACTGCAGCACACAGAATAAACCTAAATCACATCAATATTTGGTGTGACCACCCACTGGCTTTAAAACAGCTCCGCTTCTCCTCAGAACACGTACTTGCGAGCAGGTTGTTCAGAGCATCTTGGAGAAATCATCACACTTCTTCTGTGGGTTTTATCTGTCAGTGGCTTATGTTTTGCCATGTATTCACAGACTGACTCAGTGATGTTATATTGGCGCTGTAGGGCGGCCATCTGTTGCAGGGTTTGTTATTCTTATAGTCGAAGATGGTTCTTTATGACTCTGACTGCATGTTTGAGGCCATTGTAATGTGTTGCTGAATAAATCTGAGGCCAATCAGACACCTCTCTGACAGCAATGCATGATGGATAAGAACCTAAACATCTTAAGCTCCCAAACATTGTGCAGAGTAGTGTATTTTAAGATGTTTTTATTAAAACCTAGTCTGCCGGTTCTGATGAACACACACTTCTCCATGTAAAACATAATGTAATATAGCAACAGGCAAAGACAGAGATCAGGATCTGTCTTTAGTGCTTGTTTTGGGATAACCGGCTCCTAACTGCCTTTTTCTGTCCTTGTCCATCAGCCGTCAACACTACGTGTAACAACATTGACGAGTTCGAGTGTGGAAATGGAGACTGTGTGAACTACACTCTGACTTGTGATGGCATGGCCCATTGCAAGGACAAGTCTGATGAGAAACAGTCCTACTGTGGTGAGTGGAACTTTTTTTTCTCTGTCAACACACTTTCAGCCGTATTTTCTTTGTTGACGTATGTAACTCGAGTCCGTCCTGTCTGGTTGTCAGCCAACCGAGTGTGTAAGAAGGGCTACAGACGCTGTGTAAACAGCCGTTGTGTGGGTCACAGCTCCTGGTGCAACGGGCAGGACGACTGTGGAGACAATTCTGATGAGCTCTTCTGTAACAGTGAGTCAAGACTTCAAAGACAACCACCAACAGACATTTAATATTTTAAATTATGCTCTACCTAAATGCCATCTCTCTTCTTCTTTTTTTTTCAAATGTTCCAGCCACACTGTGCTCAACCGATCAATTCCAGTGCAGAGATGGAAGCTGCATCTCCAACTCCAGCAAGTGTAACCAGAAAGTGGACTGTGAGGATGCTAGTGATGAGATGAACTGCAGTAAGTTCAATTTGCTCAGGTTAAGTCCGAATAATTGAACGCAACGTAAAAGTTGACACTTTGCGCTGAGACTGTTGTATAAAGTTGTGCTTCTCTCTTTGTTAAGCTGCCACGGACTGTTCCAGTTACTTCCATCTGGGAGTGAAGGGAGTGACATTTCAGAAGTGCGAGTTCACCACACTCTGCTATGCACCTTCATGGCAGTGTGACGGAGCCAACGACTGTGGCGACTTCTCAGATGAAAGAAATTGCCCAGGTATTTTAGTGCCATCTCACAGGCAAACGCGCGTGCTGTGTTTGAAGAAGATGTGAAATTATTTTTTCACAGGTGGATTAGAGCAAAAAGAACAATTTGGATTATGCCAAAAGGAACAGAAACAAAAACAATGGATGTTTTCATCCATTAAATTGTGGTTTGGGAGGTAATTCTCCTTGAAAAACATGGCAACCTAAATTTAATTTCCTCTTCAAGCTGGCTTAACTCTTTGATGTTTTCGTTTTAACTCACCACCTTTTGGTCTCTCTGCCAGGGAGCGGGAAAACAAAATGTCCAACAACCTTCTTTGCTTGTCCGAGCGGACGTTGTATCCCAATGACCTGGACTTGTGATAAGGAGAATGACTGTGAGAACGGCGCAGATGAGGCTCACTGTGGTACGTTCTGATACCAGAAGCTAAACACGCTGCAGTGCAACAGACCATTGCTTTGTTTTGGTGCTTGTATTTTGCACTTTATATATTCTCTCTGCTCCTGTAGATAAGTTCTGCTCAGCCACCCAGTTTGAGTGTGGGAACCACCGCTGCATTCCCAACCGCTGGGTGTGTGACGGAGCGGATGACTGTGGTGACAGCAGTGATGAAGACAGCAAATGCAGTGAGTGTTGGACACAAATCCTTAGTGAAAACAAGTAAAAGAGCAGTTAGCGCTGACATATCTAGCACCGAAGGTATTTTGACAGCTGTCGATTCTGCTGGGAGGTGTAAACATGCGCTGAATTCTCAAACTTGTCACCAGATTTGTGGACTGTACTGTGAAACCAACTGTGCATTTAATCTGTTTTATCTGATATAAAAGTGGTAGCTACAGCACATTACTTTAGAGCAAATAGGAACTAAAACGTTGGCATGTGTGCAAATAACTTCGGTTTTTATGGTTCTTTAATTGTGCTTTAAACAAGTGAACAACAACTATTGGCATTAAAATCATGTTCAATGACTTCTTTCCATCACAGAGACTAAAACCTGCAGTCCAGAAGCATTCCAGTGCCCCGGATCACACATGTGCATTCCTCAGCATTGGAAATGTGATGGTGACAAAGACTGTCCTGACGGAGCTGACGAGAGTGTGAAAGCCGGCTGTGGTGAGTGCAAGCTGGAGTTGACAAAGGAATATACTTCATTGTAGGAACATAAAACATTCTTGTCTTATTCGTTCACTAAATATTTGTCTGTCTCAGTCTTCAACAACACCTGCAGCAGCAACGAGTTCATGTGCCAGAACCGGCAGTGTATTCCGAAGCACTTTGTGTGTGACCATGACAACGACTGCAGCGATGGCTCCGATGAGTCCCAGGAGTGCGGTACGTAGACCCATGACCTCTTACTCCCGATGGGGACATTTAATCACCTCTCACCTCCTTGCTCTTTTTTTTTTTTTTAACAAGTGCTGTTTATTGCTGCAGAGTATCCAACATGTGGACCCAGCGAGTTCCGCTGTGCCAACGGACGCTGTCTCATTCAGAGTAAATGGCAGTGTGACGGAGACTTCGACTGCCATGACCACTCAG